TAAATAAATAAAATCTTTAAAATAAATAAATAAATAAATAAAAGGACCCTCTTCCATCCTGCTCAGGGCCATCACAAGCCCTTCCCTGCCTCCTCACACCCTCTCCTCCGTCACTTCTCCCCCTCTCTTGGCAGCCCAAGTTGCCTCTGCTTCAGAGAATCTGGAGGCCATCGCTAGACGATGAGCTCCACGAGGATCAAAGGCCTGTCTCTCTTGTTCAGTGGTGGGCGCCAGCCTGGCACTGAGCCTCACCTGGGATGCGAAGAGCTGCCCACGCTTGCTGCCCTCGCTTCTCACTGCCGCCCTCTTTCAGTGCTGCTGCAGCCTGCCCCGTTCCTGTCCCTGACGTGGCCCGAGTCCGACCCTTCGCTCTCACAGGGCCAAGTCCAAAGGGTGTGTTCTGTCATTACTTTAGACGACCTCTCTGTGGAACTGACCCAGAGGACGACTCCCTGCACTCAGAAGTTCTGTCCTTCCTTGGTTTCTGTGGTAGCTTCTCCATCTACTCAAGCAGCACACTTGGGTCTTCCAAGCCCACGTTCTTTAGGACCCCTGCCTCTGCTCTGTCTTCTCCCTCTGCACAGACTCATGGGGACAGCGGAGGGTGGACAGGAGTCATCTTCTCCCCACACAAGGCTCCCCACCGTGCTCCCAACTCCCATATTCTGAGCTGTGCTCCCGACTCCCATATTCCTCCACCACCGGCCCTGCTGGCTCTGACTTCTCAGATTCATCAGACCTGCTTCTCCTCCTGTCTTGAAAACCACAGCCTTCCGCCCGAGCATCAGCCAGTCTCCTCCCTGGCCCACATCCCTGCATCCGATCCGTCACTGAGACTCAGCTACTATCTTTACTGTATCTCCTCCTCCTTCCCACTGCCACTGCCAAGTTCAGGCCCCACACTTTCCCGTCTGGATCACTGCACCTGCTGCTCAGCATGCCGTCGACCTTACCATCTCAATCCCCTCTGATGCACCTTCTGTGCGGCCTCCAGGGATCTTTCTAGAACAACAGCTTCATGATGGTCATGCCCTGTTGAAAATTCTTCAGTGCTGGCTGTCCCCCTGCCCCCTGTCCGGTGGCAGAACAAACCCTTGGTCCCAGCCCCCAGGTGCCTCATAGCCTGACTCCTGCCTGGCCTCCCAGCGCCCACACCCAGCGCCTTCCACGGCACAGAAACCCCTTGAAGTTCCCCAAATGTGTCCTGTTGTTTCCCAACTCAGCACATGCTTTCTCCTGTCTGTGCAGCTCTCAGCTCTCCCTTCTTCAGCAGTCATTCTTACTCTCAGAGCCTCTCCCGGTACCCCAAGCACAGGTTAGCTGCCCTGCTGGGCTCCTTATCCCCCTGGATTCCTTCTCTCAGGGCCCCCATCACACTAGATTATAAATGTCTGCTCACCTGGGAACATCTCCAGGGCAAGGACTCTCCCATCACCATCCAAGCACCTAGTAGGTGTTCAGTAAATAACTGTTGAAGGGCTGAAATGAAGTCCTTTTTGAAAGGAAACAGGAGGGGCGCCTGGGTGGCTCAGTCATTAAGCATCTGCCTTCGGCTTGGGTCATGATCCCAGGGTTCGGGGATCAAGCCCCATATCAGGCTCCCTGCTCAGCGGGAAGCCTGCTTCTCCCTCTCCCACTCCCCCTGCTTGTGTTCCCTCTCTTGCTGTCTCTCTCTCTGTCAAATAAATAAATAAAATCTTAAAAAAAAAAAAAGAAACAGGAGTATGAGTAAATAAGTAAATAAGAACTAGCACGCCCTTAGCGAGTGTTTCCGGGCCTGGCACTGTTCCAAGCACTTTGTATGTGTCACTTGCTCATTGAATCATCTTATCAGTCCTTGAGGTGGGGACTATCACTCTCCATTCCCTGTGATGTCGGCAGGCTGCCTCCCAGGACCCAGAGGGGGTCCCACGGGTCCAGCCAAGAGGGGCCCTGGCTGCTCACAGGCTAGAAATCAAACCCAAGCCAGCAGGAAGTGAAAGCAGAGTTTGTTGAAGGTATTAAGAGAGTGCAGGTGGAGACAGAGTGCCTGGGAGACTCAGAAAGGAAAGGGGGTATGAGTCTTGTCTGTGTTGAGGGTCTGGGGTTTTTGTTGAAGGTGGTGGTCTGGTGTATGTGTCCTTGCAGGCAGCCAGGAACTGGTTTGAACAATGACAAAGGCCCAGATGTTATTCCTTGGAGCCGGGAATTCCAGTGGTCTGGAACACGCATATAATGGCACGTCCAGTCATTCTTACCTGGTCCTTCCTTAGATGTCGTCTGCTCTAGAGAAATCATCAACTCCTTGTCCTTTGCAAGGAGGACACTGTTTGTTATAAGGCTTGTGTAAAGTGGGCAGTGCACGTCCTAGCAAGAATAGAAGCAGGAAAAGGAGCAAAAAGCAGATTTTCTATGGAGTCTCAGTTTCCCTATCTCATCTGGATGGGGAAACTGAGCATATACAGGTTCAAGAACGTTGCTCAAGGTCACACAGCTTTTAAGTGTAAGAGCTGGATTTGAATCCAGGCAGTCTGGTACCAGAGTCGGTGCTCTTTAACTGCTCCAACTCTACTTTTTCTCTAAGGAACAGGAGGAATGGTGAAAAAGACAAAGCAAAGAGCAGGGCTCAGAGAGCTCCCTGCTAATGAGGGAGGCTTGCTTATCAATGCACCATGCCCTCCGTTTCCGTGGGCCCGAAGGGAGACCAGGGGTCTCTCCCTTTGCATCCAGGAGGGGGGCAGGAGTGGGATCTCTTTGCTCTTCATAATGCTAAGGGGCAGCCTGTGTGGTGTTTCTGGGGTCAGGCTGCCTGTTTCAGAGCCTCCCGGGCCATGTGAGCTTAGGCAAGAATCTTAACCTTTCGATCCAAAATCCCTCTTCTATAAACCGGGGATACCTGTGGTATCTACCACATAGATTGTGGAAAATGAAGTGAGATAAGGAGGGAATGTGCATAGCCCAATGCCCAACACACGGTAAGCATTCAACAAATATATGAATATATATATATTCATTCATATATATATATATATATATATGAATGATGTGGTTTTGGGATATCAGTGAGGTAAGGTCTGGAACCGAAGACCAAGAAGGAATTCTTGATGGTTTCTTCACCAGTTCCTTGGTAGTTTATTAAAGCATGGGGACAGGACCCGTGGACAGAAAGAGCTGCTGCACAGGGTTGTGAGGGGTAGCTGATTATATATACTCAGGAGTTGGGAGAGGTAAGGAAAAGGGAGGTTTTCAAAAGGATTTTCATATGTTAAAGAGGACCTACAAGATACTGGAGGCCTTGCCATTGTCAAGTTAAGGCATTAACATTAAGATAGTTGGGAACTTCCCGGAGGAACATTACATTTTGCCATCAGTGGGTTGCAGGTATAAGGGCATTTAATTGTATCTACATTTCCTTCTGGAAGCTAGGTTATTGATAGAAATGCTTTGTTCTTGTAGATCGCTAAGCCATTTGTAAACTGAGTGAGGCTCAAGTCTTGCAGGATTGTGATCTCTGTAAGTTGTTTTTCCTTTCCTTAGCTTTAAGGCAGCCAGGAGTGCCTGAGGAATGTCACAAATATCCCATGGGGGAGTGAGGTGTCAGCTTCTGCTTTGTCCTCAGCTTGCCTTCTGTTCCCTCATCATATATATATTTTTTAAAGATCTTATTTGAGAGAGAGACAGAGACAGCACAAGCAGGGAGGAGAGGGAGAAGCAGGCTCCCAACTGAGCAGGGAGCATGATGTGGGGCTCCATCCCAGGACCCTGGTATCATACCTAAGCTGAAAGCAGCCGCTTAACATATTATTATATTATTAAGACAGTAGCTTTGGAATCAAGAGTAAGGTTCAAGACCATGTTGCATCACAATGAAGTCTGAATTTTCTGCCCCTCTGAGTTCACTGATAATTCTATTCTAATTTTAGGCTTACTAGGAACCCAGCAGAATCTCTTGGTCCAGTGATTTGCATTTGTATAGTATCTGTATTTGCTGATCGCTGCTGATTGAAGTAGGTGAGAGCTTGGGGCAGGGGCCTGGAGTTAGAGGTTTCAATCCTAGCTCTGCCACTTCCTGGCTGTATTTCTTTGAGCAAGTGACTTCAGCTCTTTGGCCCTCAGTATCCTCATCTGTAAAATGGAGATTATCATAGTGGTTAAATGAGAGCATGTAAAAACAGCTGGAAAGGCAAATAGTCTGCACTCTATTTTATTTTATTTTATTTTTTAAGATTTTATTTATTTATTTGACAGAGACACAGTGAGAGAGGGAACGCAAGCAGGGGGAGTGGGAGAGGGAGAAGCAGGCCTCCCGCGGAGCAGGGAGCCTGATGCGGGGCTTGATCCCAGGACTCTGGGATCATGACCTGAGCCAAAGGCAGACGCTTAACGACTGAGCCACCCAGGTGCCCCTGCACTCTCTTTAAAGGGTAAGTGTTGGGGGCGCCTGGGTGGCTCAGTTGGTTGAGCAACTGCCTTTGGCTCGGGTCATGATCCCGGAGTCCCGGGATTGAGTCCCACATCGGGCTCCCTGCTCAGCAGGGAGTCTGCTTCTCCCTCTGACCCTCCTCCCTCTCATGCTCTCTGTCTCTCATTCTCTCTCTCGCAAATAAATAAAATCTTAAAAAGAAAATAAATAAAAATAAAGGGTAAGTGTTGTTTTTAAGCTGACGCCAAAGTCTGTTAATTCCAAAGGTGACTGGCGGGAAGGTGGTGTGATTAGTAATAGTAACAAGCTGTGGAACGTAGGAGGAAAGGAGGGTCTTGGACGGAGAGGATTATGAATCGGCCTGTGGCTCCAGGTGAAAAATGTTTTTTTGTTTTTTTTTTCAAAAACAACAGCAATAATAATGTGAATTTTTTTTTCTTCAAGTCTTTCTGTTCAGATAGAGAATTAGAGAGGTTTCTCTCTTCTCCTTCTCCAAGAGCCATATGGCTGGATAGCTTCTGGTGGATCTTTCATGAGAGGTACCAGGTAAATGCAAATCTGATCACTTCTCTCCCTTGCTCAAGTTATTTTTCTGTGGAACAAACCCTAACCTCTTTAATGTGGGCTGGAAGCCTCTCTGAATCTGTGGACCCCCCCACTGGAGCCCCATCTGCCTCCTCCCTCCCCCGCCTGGCCCATACATCCTGTGCTTCAGCCACTGCACAATGTTTTGTAGCCCCGGAGTGTCAGGAACTGGTCCCTGTCACGTGGCTGGTCAACCACAAGGCCGGGAGCAGAGTCAGGACCTCCCTGCCCAGAGTTTGGGCGCTTGCTTCAACAGTCTGCTCTACGCATAAATCTATTTTATAAATCTAAAAATTAGTGTACTATTTCATAAATAACATGAGGTTAAACATCTCAAGAATAATATTCCTAAACACGAGAGAAGTAGCTATTTCAGCATCTCAGCCGTTGCCCGTTAAAACCAGGGGCTCTAGTAACTCCTTCTGCACTTTTATTCCTGGTAGCCCAACAAGGAGATCCAGAATAAGCTGTTTGACCGGATAGCCCAAAACTACGCCTTTCTCTTGTTGAATGAATCCAAGTCCCACTATGAAGAGGCGCTCTTAAAAGTGAGCATCAAGCACCATTTGGAGGAAAAAAAATCACACTAGGTATCTCTTCACTTCAAATGCCAATAGAATGCCCTTAACGTTCTTTCTGTGAGGCAGTAAGTAGTAAGTTGTGCTATATCCATACACTGACTTGTAATGCAGCAGTCACAATAAATAAAGTAGATCTGTATATGGTATATTTTAAGTGAAAAGCAGAGCAATTTATAGAACTCTGTGTTTAAAAATGTGTATGTGTATGTATATATGTGTGCCTATGAATAGAAAAAAAAAATCTGGAAAAATACATACCGAACTCTTAGCAATGGTTATCTCTGGGGAATGAGGTTATAAGAGACTTCCTTTTCTATTTTATATATTTCTTTGGTATTTAAATAAGCATGTAATTTTAAAAGTATGAATATATATATAGTCACAAAGACCGATTTAACTACATAAATTATTTAAATTACCACAGTCAGACTTAAAAGGCAAAGGAGAAACCGCAGAAATCACGTGGCACATACATCACACAATGTAAAGAACTCTTACAAATTCGTGCGCCTGGCTGGCTCAGTCAGCGGCGCATTCGACTCTTGATATCGGGGATGTGAGTTCGAGCCCCACGTTGGGTGTGGAGATTACTTAAGTAAATACAAACTTTAAAAAAAAAAAAGAGAACTTATACAAATCAATAAGAAAAAAATGCAACAACCCATAGACCAATTGACAAAGTACATAAACCATAAATTCACCAGGGAAGAAATACAGATGGGGAAAAAGTGTTCACCCTTAACAATAGTCAAACATACCAATTAAAACAATAATCATTTGGTACCCCTTTTTACCTGCTAGATTGCATGGATTAAAAAGAGTGATTCCCGGGGTTGTGAAGGATCTAGGGAAATGGCACTCTGACAGTCTGAGAAGTGACTTGATACATTTTTGCTACCAGGTGCTTACACTAGTTAAGTGTCCGTCTACCAAGTCAATTAGATTTTCCATGCCTCAGTTTCATCATCCATAAAATGGGGATAATACTGCCTCGCTCACTGAGTTGTCCTAAGGATTAAATGAGATGATGTTTGTAAGGCACTGACATATCCCCAGCACCTGAGAAGCCCCCAGTGCATCATAGCCACTATAGTTACTATCATGATTCCATCTTCTGGAGGTCATAATCGAATACTCAGGAAAAGCTGCTTTCCCTCATGCTTTACACAAATTTTTGACTGCCTGCTATGTGCCACAGAGTTAGGTTAGAAAATAAAAGTAATTATTCCACATAATTTGTAATGTAAAGTCTTAGAAACGAGACAACATCCATTGATGGGGGATGTAGAAGGAAATTTTGGTATGCCTACTCAGCCCAATATTATGAAGGTCATTCTTGGGGAAAAAAAATTCCCAAGAGTTGATAACAACCCGAGGAAGTGCTTATACTATATTGTTAAATGAATAAGGCTGGATATAAATGTATAATTTGCGATCAACCATAGTTAAGAAGGAACAACAGTACCACCTATGCATAGGGAAAAAAATAACAGTAGTAGTACTTCCTGTTATCTCTGGGAGGTAGCAAGATGGGCAGGTCAAATGTATCTTGTCCTCTGGGCTACTCTTTGGCTGGGTGGCAGAAGGGGCTGAGCCACCGACCACGAGCAGAGGAGCTGGGGGCGGGGGGTGGGGGAGGGAGGTTGGTGGTCAAGCATCTCATGAGGTTTGAGGTGTGGTTCTCAGATAGGGTAAGGAGTCCACCAAGATGTGGGCCAGCAGCAGATGGAAATTGCGCCCCCCCATGAATGGAAGGCAGTGCGATATCAGGCAGAGAGTTTTATCACAGATCCTTTCTGCAGTCAGGAGCTCTTTTCTGGGTGTGGAGATGTCCAGAATGTTGCCTGAGCTCTGCTCCCCCTCTCCCCCCCACCCCCAGAAGTTGCCAACGCTGCTGAGTAAAGCTGTGTACACCAGCTTCTGTTGCTGCTTCCCGCAATCCTGGTTCAACACGCACGAATTCAAATCGAGCATCTGTAACACGATGAGCCTGTGGATTTCAGGTAAGAGGGGGCTGCTTCGTCCTGGGGAAAGTGATTCTGGAAACACTTTTCTGCCTGAGCCTAGGTGTGTGGTTTGCCATCACATCCTTCACTGAGGCATTTGTCCTTTTTTCTTGCTGACATCAAAGAAGGGAAGGTGTGCGGTTGGAGCCTCCAGGAGTACTGATTACCCTGCTTCCACAAAACAAAAACAGTTCTGAGACATTCCTAGCCCCCTCTTTGTGTCCAGTGATCTGCAGGAAGCAGGTTTCAGCAGAGGTTAGTTGGCCATGTGCTGTGGACTGATGGACCTAGAGGCTCAGGAGCCCAAAAGCAGATGCTGGTTGGATGATTCCACCCTTCTACTCCCCAGTGACCCCATGTGGCCTAACCGTGGTCCCCTTGTCCCCTTGTCCTTGCCACACACTGTGCCAGGCTGATGTTTGCTTTTAACTACTTTTCACTCCTGTTCCCTACTCCCCTCTTCTCGACCTAGCTATTTTCTAAGGTTATTAACATCTACTACCTATTGAGAGGTTCCTGTGTACTAAGTACTGTGCTAAGTAAGCACTTCTTTACATTTCCTACTGTCTTGGGGGTCTCCAAGTTCATCCTGCATTAGGATATTTGCTGGGAGAACTCACAGTCTCAGCATGTAGTTATATTCACGGCTAAGATTACAGCAGTGTAGTGAGGATACCCAGCCAGGGAATACTCTTAGTGGAAAAGACAGAGTCTGGAGGAACTCATGTGCAGGCTTCCTTCTGCTCTCTCCCTTCCATGAGGACTTGGGCAGAGCACTCTCATCCCTCTGCAGCAAAGATGTAGCAACACGTGTGATGTTTCTGCCCGGGGAAGCCTACTAGAGACACAGCACCCAAGGTTTATATTGGGGGCCGGTCACGTAGACACCTCTGTCTATCATATACCAAAATTCCAGGAAAGCAGGTGTTCAGCCGAAGCCACATCGTTTTACAGATAGTCTAGGCCCAGTGAGCCATTCTAATCAGTTAGGGAAAAATTTCCTCCCAGCTATATTGTTATAATTGACATATAACATTGTGTAAGTCTAAGATGCACAAAGTGATGATTCGATGCATGTACATATTGGGGAATGTTAACCATAATAAGGTTAGTTAGCACATCCTTCACACATAATTACCATTTTGTTGTTATGGTGAGAAGACTTAAGGTCTACTCTCAATAAGCTTTGCTTATTTTCAAGATTGCTTTGGCTTTCAGGGTCTTTTGTGGATCCACACAAATTTTAAGATGGTTTTCTCTACTTCTGTGAAAAATACCATTGGAATTTTTCCTTTTTTTTTTTGAATTTTGATAGAGATTGCATTGAATCTATAGATGGCTTTGGGTAATATGGATATTTTCACAATATTAATTCTTTTGATCCATTACACAGCATATCTTTCCATTGATTTGTGTCTTCCTCAATTTCTTTCATCAGTGTCTTATAGTTTTCAATGTATAGATTTTCCACTTCCTTGGTTAAATTTATTCCCAAGTATTTTATTGTTTTCAATGTTATTGTGAGTGGGTTGTGTTCTTTATTTTTTTTCATATAGCTCTTTGTCAGTGTATAGAAACCCAACCGACTTTCATATGTTGATTTTGTATCCTGACAATTTACTGATATTGTTTATTAATTCTAACAGTTTTTTTGGTGGACTCTAGGTTTTTCTGTATACAAGATCATGTCATCAGCAAACGGAGACAAATTTACTTCTTCCATTCTGATTTGGATGCCATTTTTTTCTTTCTTTCTCTTTTTCCTTTCTCTCCCCCTCTCTCTTATTTATTTATTTTTTTTATGTCTAATTATTCTGGGTGGTGAGAGTGGTTAGAGTGGATATTCTTGTCTCATTCCCGGTCTTAGAAGAAAAACTTTTTTCATCATTGAGTATGATATTAGCTGTGGGCTTGTTATATGTGGCCCTTATTACATTGAAGTGTGTTCCCTTTGTACTCACTTTGTTGAGAGTTTTTACCATGAAAGGATGTTGAATTGTGTCAGCTGCTTTTCCTACATCTACTGAGATGAGCATGTGATTTTTATCTTTCTTTTTATTAATATGGTGTATCACATTGATTTGTGGATGTTTATCCATCTTTGCATCCCAGGGATCCATCCCACTTGATCATGGTGGGCGATCCTCCTAATGTGCTCTTGAATTCAGTTCGCTAGTATTTTCCTGAGAATTTTTATGTCTGTATTCACAGGAGATATTGGCCTGTAGTTCTCTTTTCTTGTAGTGCCCTTATCTGGCTTTGGTATCAAGGTAAAGCTGGCCTCATGAGTTTGGAAGTGTTCCCTCCTCTTCAATGTTTTGAAAGAGTTTGAGAAAGATTGGAGTTCATTCTTTAAATATTTGGTAGAATTTGCTTGTGAAGCCATCTGGTCCTGAGCTATTCTTTGTTTGGGAGGTTTTTGATCACTGATTCAACCCCCTAACTCATTATTGGTCTGTTCAGATTTTATATGTCTTCATGATTCGGTCTTGATAGTTTGTACACTTCCAGGAATGTATCCACTTCTTCTAGGTATTAGGGAAAGCGGTATCAGTGTAAGGAAATGTTTACCAGCCAACTTGCAGATGCTGGCCAAAGGCCAACCTCGCAAGCAAGATTTTCCAAGGATAGCAGCCTGGGCCTGCTAAGTCTTTTTGGCACACCCATTTAATCCTCTTAACATATGCAGAATCAAAGAGGTCCAGCAGGAAACAAATGGGAGAGCAGGCATTCAGATCCAGGCTGTCCCACTGCAAAATTAGGTCTTTGACCACTATGCCATCCTGCCTCTCATTCTCTGACACTTTTCTTTCTGTTCCTCCTTCCTATTCCCCTTTTTGTCCAAGGCTGAACCTCCTTCCCTAAACTTCCTGTCCACTTACTTTGTCCAATGGAGACAGCATCTTTGCATAAGAGTTCAAAATTTCTCAAGTAATCCTTGGTCTTTTCCTTTCTAAACCAAAGAACTGAGGGAGACAGTGGAGTCCTTCTAACGTCTGAGGATTCAGGTTCCAAGAAGCCAAGACTCTGAAACGCATGGTTTGCTTTACAAGGAAAGCATTAGCCCCATTAACATCACCATCAAATATTTAGGGAGAGCCAGTTTCTGGTTCTAAGTGTGATCACATGTTGAGCAAATACTTACTAAGCTCCTATTTATCACGTGCTGGGTCCAGTGCTAAGCCCCCGAGGTGCAAAAGTGAGTATGATCCAGGTTCTGCGCTCAGGGAGCTCACAGTTCAGCGACAGCAAAGGAGATAAGCAGGAAAAGGAATGATTACAATGCCTTCATATCTGTACAGCACAGGGTCAGGTGCCCTGGTGTGATCCAGTCGTCAGACCCATGCTGTTGGGGGGCAGGGCGAACCTCACCGTCTCTTCTGCAGAGGAAGGCACCAAAGCCTCCCAGAGGGGAAGTGGCTCCGTCAAGGCCACAGGGCCACCGTAGGGTGAGGCGAATGCTAGAAGCTCCCCCCGCCCCAGGACCAGCAGGGGGGGCAGGGGGCGGGGCTCTGTCTTCTGTTTTCTGCCTCCTTTCTCTTTTATGGAAGTTTTCATGATCACTCTTCACTCTCTGTTAGGTATCTACCCTTGCCTACAGAGCTATAACAGCTGGGACTATTCAGAACTGGATCCAGAGAGATTCCGCAGAGAAAAATTAATTTTGCAAAGAAGACTGTTAAAGAGTAAGCTACCCCTTGTGCACTTGGCCCCCCTGCGCCCCTGCCACACCCAGCCGCCATCCAGCTGGGACAGGGCAGAGCCTTGGTATTGAAGTACTCAGGCCAGGTTCCCTCTCACGCTCCCCCACACTAGCCACCAAAATGACTGAAATGCTGTTGCTTAGAAATTATAGTTAAGAGTCAGCACAACATAATTGCTGGGATGTAGGGGTGGAACCTGATATTATACCCATGGACGCCAGAGACTAGGTATCTGCTCTGGGCCAGGCTCCATGCTGGCCTCTTCATCCTTTTATTTAATCCTCACAACAACCAGCTCAAAGACACACTAAATCCATTTCACAGATAAGGAGAGTAGAGTTCAGAGAAGCAAGTTGCCCAAGGCCTACTTTCTTATTGCGGCAACAGACACGTAAAGGGCTCTGTGCACCAGGCAGCCACGCTCCCGTGGATTAGGTGCGGTGGTGGGGCATACAGGCTGAGGGGGCATGGCGGGAGGTCCTCAGTCCAGCCCTGAGAGGGTCAGTAAGTGGCACGTAAGCTGAGATTTGAAGGATGTGTATTTTAGGCAAGTGAAGGGAAGAATTACTGTTCCAGGTGGAGGGAACAGAGTGTGATAAGACCCAGAGGCATTCCTCATGGCAGCCGGGAGAGGACTGTAATGGGTAACCAGCCCGTGGGTGACCAAGCCCGGATCAAACTCAGGACTGCAAAGCCAGAGAGACACAATGCTGGGTTAGGCGGATGTTTCCTCCAGGGGGTGATGTCTACCCTTTTCATGGGGGCACCCCAGGGATGCAGCGAAGCCCCATCTTTAATAGGTCAATAGGACCCAGGAGGCAGACAACATTCACTAATGAAGTCCTTTAACAACCCAGGACCCTTTGGAAGTGGAAGACAGGAGTGAGAAAATTATTTTTTTCTTAAATGTGCTGAAAACAGCCCGTGCTGTGAAGAATGAGTCTGAGCACAAAGCTCTACCCTGGTTAGCAATAAAAATAATGCTATTGCACACTGACTCCCATTCTTTGCACTAGCCACAGTTTGGGTTCTTTTGTGTCCTCCCCACCCAAACCTTATGAGCGAGGCTGTTACCCTGATCTTATAGCAGGATAAGGTGCAGAGAGGTTCCTGTGCCCAGGGTTTCCCGGCACAGTTGGGGGCCAGGATTTTGCTCAGACGGGCTAATCAACCTACTCTTGTTAGCTGGTGGCCTCTCTGGCCAGTGACAGGGGTCTCCCCCCTCAGTCTACCTCCCTTAGGGAAAGTGAGGCCACTCAGCAGGATGGGGGGGCCTCCCGAGAGGCGGTACGGTCCACACCATGGTGAGCTTACTGACCCTGGAGGGGCGCTGGCAGAGCCTCCCACATGCTGCCTAGAACGAGCAGCGTCAGCATCTCTGGATGGGCTGACCACCCCCTGATCTATGAGCGCCGTCCAGTTTGCAAAGCACTGGCCCAGGGCACAGGGAAGGCAGTCCTCAGAGAAGGGCATGATTGTACTTATTGGGTGGATATGCTTGTAGCAATACCTCCTCAGAGCCAGGCACTTTCATTGCTGCTTTTCTAAGCATTTACGTTCACTGACCCACTCAATACGTTTGCTTTCCCAGCGATCACCATGTACACACAGACGTTTCAAAGGGAAAAAATCTAGAACCTGTAAACTGTCTTCAACTTTAATGACACTCCCTGAGGCTGATAGATTGTTACTTTAAGTGTTTAATCCAACATTTACTCATTTTGATGTTTCAGGGTTTTGAGTTTTTTGTTTTTCTTTTGAAGCCAGTACTTTTTTTTTCATATGGGTTGAGTGCTTGCCCTGTATACTGTCCTCTGCATACATTATTTACTTTAATTGGTTCAGGAGCCCCGCAAGGTAGTTTAGTATTCAAACCTTTAACAGGATCAGAGAGGTTAGGTGACCTGCCCAAGGTCACTCAGCAGAGAGAATGACAGAGGGGCTCTGGTTTGCCTGAGGTCCATTGTCCTACTATTGCTGTTGCCTCCAGGGAGGGGGCTGTGTCAGAACTCCTGGTCTGCAGCGTCACCTCCGGACAAGAAGGGACTGAAGCCCATTTTTCTCTTCCCTAGAAAGAGAGTTTTCTTTGTTCACTTCTAAGAGATGTATCTCCCAGGGGCCTCGCCAGAACAAGAAAGTTCTCTGCCCTAAGGTGAGTAGAGGGGCACAGACCCAGACCCCCTTGCATCCCCAGAAGCTTCAATGACTTCTAGTTGGTTCCACATCTCTGCACTCCCTGTCCATCATCTTGGGAGGGGTCCTGGTGGTCCTCTAGATCTGTGGGCATGAGCAGAGCACCAAAGGGTCACCACAGAAATGCAGTGATTGGGGGGTAGAGGAGATGGAAACAGTTTCTCAGTGTAGGCTCAGCTCCAAAGTGTTTTCATAGCTTTTCCTCCCTATCACTTCATCATAAACCCACACCTGGCTGTCATATCTGAAGCAGGAATGATGTTAGGGTTCAAAGCCGCCGGCTTTCTTGTGAAAGAATTCTTGAGACGTCTTTGGTGCAAAAAGGCACAGGGACAGGGCCCGTGGGCAGAAAGAGGAGGGGTCATGAGGAGTGGCCCATGATATACTTTCAAGTTGGGAGGGTTAGGGATAGCATAAGTCTCTAGGGAATTTTGGAAGCAAGGTTTCCAGGACCTTGAGAGGGCAAGCTATTGTTAGGAAAAGGTCATTTTACTGTCTAGTAAAACCTAAGTCACGAGGCCCTTCAGAGGTGTATCAGTGGGTGTTATGCTTGAGGGGATGATTGCCAACATGTATCTTGGAGGAGTAGAGATAAAGGAAGTTTCCAAAGAAATTTTTATATGTTAAAGTAAACTCATAGGATCCTGGGGGTCGGGCTAAGATTGCCTTTTGCCCTTCGCAAAGTATTAACATGGAGGAAGGTCAACTGCCTGCTTCAAGTCAGTGGGCTGTAGGTAGTCAGGAAATTTAATTTTTCTTCTGCCTTTGTTTCTCACATCACTCTCACACCAGCTTGCCCCTCTCTGCCTTGCCCTGTGATGTTCCTCCTAGGTAGCTCCAACACCACCCCACTTCACCTCTCCCCTCCCCTCCCTACAGTCCAGTTTGAGCCCCTTCACCAATGCAGTAGGTTGCTGGCTCCCTCAGGCTCCCCAGAACCCCTGCAATCTTTTCAAAATGCAGATCTAATTATGTTATAATGTCACCCCCGGGCCCCAGCCTACTCCCCTATCCCAAACACCCTTCCCCAGCCCAAATGAAAAATACCTCCCAAACTTCACCTTGGCCTCTGTACCTACCATCCCTCTGGTCCCAAGTAAGCTCCCTCCCCCCACTGCCACCCACATGGTCAGCATCTCCTCCCATTGGTAACATGAAACCTGCCAAACACTCACCAGCGAGGCATACTTTTTCCAGACAGCTGGAAAAAAAATAAATGCCTGGGAAAACCATGAATGAGGACTTCTGCTGCCCGTTTTTTATAAGTAATACGTCACTGGCACCCAGCCGAGGTCACTCGTTGACTACCACCTTTGACTGTCTTTGTAGACTTGAGTAGTTGTGATGCAGACTTTATGGCCTGCAAAGCTGAAAACATTTACCCTCTGGCTCTTTGCAGAAGGAGCAGCATTCATCCTTCTGTCTCAGCTGAAGCCCTCAGGGTCCGCAGTCTCCACCCAGGTCCGCATTCTTGTTCTACCCACTCAGAGCCCTCTCCTTCCGAGCTAGGGAATTACTGGGTCATTCACTGATCATGGTTGTCTCTCCCACTAACCTTTAAGCTGTAGACCGCCGTCCTCATTTCTAATACCCTGTTTCGTCCTTATTAAGTAGCCTATGAGGCTTGATTCATTGTCAGACCAGCCTTTCCCCTTTGTTTGGTGCAGAGTTGGGGGTGTTTCCACCCTGAAACGTTCACCCAGTGTTTGGAATGGGTGAAAGTTGTGCCTTTCTTTTGTAAAGTGGGATAAAGTCTGCAGGAAGACCACTTTCAAGAAAACAGGATGTGAGGACACTTGGGGATCTGGAAATGGATGTTCTTCCAATTGACCATCCCAGTGTTCCTTGGAAAGTCTCTGTGGCCCCACAGAGGTTGAAGGTCTCTGGTTAAAACCCTGCTGTCTGTTCTGAAGAAAAGATTCATGGCATACCCCGTCCTCTTCAGTTTCAAAGGGGAAAAAAACACTTTACCGATATAAAAATCTAATGGAAACAGAAAGAAAAGGGAAATCCATGCATAGGTGAGGACAATAGTAAGCAGTAAAGGAGAATAAGACAAAGTTCAATCAAATCGGGTACTTATAACATCCAGCCTCTCACCGGCTGCCTGCGGTGGAGACAGCCCTGGCTGGAGTCCCCATAGAGAGGCCTGGGTGGAGCATCCTCCCTTCAGGCGAAGACTTCCAACTGACCATCCCCGTAAGGGCCGTAATAATAGGGCAAATGACTATTTATAGGGCACATGACGGGGGTCTGAAGTTAAATGTTGCTTGCCTACCTGCAGTTTGGAGAGCTGCATTTCTATGTTATCATGGCTTTCCGTCTTCAGGGAGCCTGGGTTAGATGTGCTCGCCTCCCCTCCGGATTCCGTTCCAGGGGCCCAGCCCAGCCTGGAGCCGGAGGCGATGCAAGGCAAAATGGATAGCTCTTGGCATCCAAACCAGGAGGGCCCGTTGTGACCTGGAGGTCAGCTAATGTCAACGAATCAGGCTCCCACGGTCACTCATCCAGCACGGGTCTCGCAAACCCGCCTTAGCCTGCCTGCAGATATGCGGGACACATCCCAGAAACCTCCGTGCACACAGTACACTCTCCCGGGTTCAGACCGCAGCCACGCGGCCTCCCACAAGCTCCTTAAGCTCCCCAGGACTTGCTTTCTACAGGTGTGAGATGAATACAGCTGCAGCAGGGCCTTCTCCCTGAGCTGCTGAAGACTGCAGCACACGCACCGGGGTGGCCGGGCTCCCTGTCACTCCACGGCCACACGTCCCAGCTGGGCCCTCCGCACGTCCGGGCTCCCCTCCCCCCAACCCTTATTTCACTTGGTCTCCCTTTCCAGAAGTCTCGCACCGCGAGCAGGCTTTCCCACTGGCCCTCCGCTAGAAGCAGCCAGCTGGAAAGCCCTCACCTCCCTACCCCGAGGCGATTGCCCCCATCTGTACCCTCACCGTCCGCCAGCCCCCTGTGCCTACGGAGAAAGGGCCCTGCCGCACTTGGGTCTGGACCTCGCCCCCTGCGGCGGGCACAACCCCCCCCCGGCCGTCTTGCATCATCTTCTGCTGTTGGGTTGTGCCATCGTGGAACAGTCCTGCTCTGGCACCTCAAAACTTTGCCTCTGCACCCCCATTTCCTGCCACCCTTCCCAAAGCCTCATCCGCACCCACGGATCCTGCCTTCAGTGCGGCCAAGCAGCTGCTCCTGCCTCCGGGGCCCCAACCCTAGTCTGCTCACACTCTAGTCCATGTCACGTGGTTGGCTGCTCCCACCTTCTTGAGAGGCTTTTTTCTCTTGGCTTCTATGTTGCCAGAGTTTTGCGAGTGCCTGCCTTCCGTCAGGCAGTCTGTCCTGGCCCCTTCCCCTCTACCTACATTCTCTTCCTGAGTGGTCTCATCTGGTCCTCTTTTGTGGTTCTGGAATATAGGTGAGGTTTGGTGGGGTGAGGTTCAGAGCCGATGACCAAGAAAATTCTTGAGACGTCTTTGGTGCAAAATGGTGGTTTTATTAAAGCACAGGGACAGGACCCGTGGACAGGAAGAGCTCCTGCCCTGGGGGGTCTTGAGGAGTGGCTGGTTATATACTGGGGAGTTGGGGGAAGTGGGGAAGTAAGGAAAAGGGAGGTCTCAAAATTACTTTCATATGCTAAAGAGGACCTACAGGATAATGGAGGCCTTGCCATTGTCAAGTTAAGGATGTTTATACCTCTTAGCAAGGCATTAACATTAAGATAGTTGGGAGCGTCCTGGAAGAATGTTACACCTGTCCCACCCAGGAGTGGAGGTTGGGGGGAGGTTGCAGGGTGTCACCTTGTGCTTTGTCTTCATCGAGCCTTCTGCTCCCTCATCACTCTGACTTTAAATGCCACCCATATGCCAGTAACGCCCAGATCGCCCTCCCCACCCTCGTGTATCCAACTGCCCCCTGGGCCTCACCAGGGGGCTATCTCAATGATGACGTTTTGGAATATTGGTGAGGTTCGGTGGGGTGGGGTGCGGAGCCTCCGGCCAAGAAAGAATTCTTGAGACGTCTTTGGTACAAAAAGGTGGTTTTATTAAAGCACGGGGACAGGACCCGGGGGCAGAAAGAGCTGCTCCGGGGTTATGAGGAGCAATTGGTTATATACTATGGGGTTGGGGGAGGTAAGGATTAAGGGAGGTTTTCAAAAGAACTTTCATATGCTAACAAGGACCTACCAGATACTGGAGGCTTTGCCATTGTCAAATTAAGGTTGTTTTCCCCTCCAGCAAGGCATTAACCTTTAGATAGTTGGCAGTTTCCTGGAGGAATGTCACACATGTCCCGCCCAGGAGTTGGGGGCGTTGGTTTGCAGGGTGTCAGCTTGTGCTTTGTCGTCGGCTAGCCTTCTTCCTGATCATTGGCATGGCTAGGGGGGAGGAGGTTGCTGATTTCCAGCAACCAGTGTGAGGGCTGCGGCCTCCGCCTGGGCTCCTCCCTTTTACCCTTGGCCCCAGCCCAGAGTGACCTTGTCACACACGTACACCAGATGAGACTCTTCTCCGCTTAAAACCTCCGGCGGCTTCTCCAGTGCACTTGGTAGCCAGTCCAGCCTCCTTAGCCTGCCACGGACTGCCCTGCAGAATTCGGCTGCCACCTCTCTGCCCAGACTCCTCGCATCCTTTCACTCCCTCGGAGTGACCTCATCCCAGTGAAGCCGGTCCTGACCGCCCAGCTACTCTCTCATCACGGGGCTGCTTTAATGCTCTGCATGGTGCTTCTCAGGGGCTGCTCTCTTCCCCGGGGACTTAGGATTGTTCACTGTCTGGCTCCCTCTAGTAGAATGTCAACTCCAAGAGGCCAGGGCCCCTTTTCTCACTCTTCTCTCTCCAACTCCTAGGAACAGGGCCCTCTGTGTGACGTCTTGGTCCCGCGCTTAGCAAATAATGGTGCTCTCTCTGCAAGTGTCCGTCCCCAAGAAGTGGAGACAATCGGGCCTTGTAGACG